TGAGTATACTGTGATATCTAGGAGAATTTTCCTTAATGACTGTGTTTGCTAGGTCGACGTTTCCGTTAGATCGAAGACGTTCGGTTGCGAGTTTAATTGAGACTGTTTTTTACCGTAAGTGTCAAGATAGCATATTATGTTATCCCCTCTTGGTAAATTAGGCTGCTTGTGTCGGTTTTGACTTATGCTTTGGTCTAGGCGATATTTCCCGTGGTCAAGTCCCTATTTCTGCAGCTGGCCTTCGTCTAGTCGTTGAAGGTTTCGCTGCTCTGCCTTGTATTTCAGAGCTAAGTTTCAAGTCAACTTTGTCTGTTGTGTTCCGTTCGCTTGTGCTTAGCGCATTTTTTCTGTGGCCATAAAATTGACGAAGGTTTTTAAAAATGATAACCTATTCGTACTTCAGGTTTTCTGCTTTGGGTAGTCGCCGGTATGGACTTAATTGCTTGATTCCGTGGCCGAAATGCCTATTTAAAGCAGGTTCCTAGTTGACTGTTGTTTTTCATTGCTGTCGTACTTTCTTCTCCGTTGCAATGAGCGAAGATACGGAGTCAATCAAAGTATTTTGCCGGTTCCGACCACTGAACGAAGCCGAAGAAAGGACCGGTTCGAAATTCATTGCTAAGTTTCCTCCCGCTGCCGAGGATTGTGTTAACATCGGGGTAAGTTATCGTCATATTCGTCTAAAATCACGTATATTCGTTTTCGGTTGTCTTCAAACTTATGAATCATTGACTTGATATGCTCAAGTTCGGTTATTGATTTTCTCTGTGCAGTCGAACTGACGACGATCGTCACCGAGCATCTGATTACAGGCTAGAACAATCTATTAATTTCATTTGCCAAATAGCCAGACGCACAGCGATGGCCATTGCAGCGATACTGCTGGCAGTGGTCGATGCTGAAGCGGTCGGCGAACAACAGCTGACGAGCTGTCATAGTCATATGTTTCGTTGAACTGTATGTTCGTTCATCCCATCGTAGTTATCCGTTCCTGGCATATAAACAGCTGTATGTAAAGGCTTCTAATTGACATAACTACTGTGACAGAAAATCTCCTATTTTTGACCCGTGGTCATTATTTATATCAGCAACTGTGGCTGTCTCCCTCGCCGCTTCACGCTCTTGTTCAAATTCGTTTCTGCTGCCACTTCCTAAAACTCAAAACTACCACAGTCTTGGTGCCTTCGCTTCAATTAGAGATGAACTTGCTTCAGCGAGCCTTTTTGTTGTTCTCGTCGAACAGTCAAAGAATCGATCATTCGCGTTCAGTGGAACCGTTCAGTGGCGAATTACCTTCCACCGTCGTGGCTTCTCTTTATTTCTGTTAATCATTCAGATGCTATTGTCCATATGACAGCTGCGACAAAGAAAGACATTGGCGATTTTTTTATTGCCCCAACTTGGTGGTTTAGTTTCTCCACTCTGTCTGAAATGCTTCTATAATCTATCAGCTTATCTTCATTCTGAAATGAAATATGTATATTTGAAAAAAAATATCAAACCGAAAGAAATGCAATAAATTATAAATTTATCAGTGGTTAAAAATCAATCAAATCAGTAGTCTGTTAAGAGGCTCTGTTTGTCAAACGTAATTACGAAGAGTTGTATTTTACATAATTTTCCAAAGCTGATATTAGATTAATGTGCGAGAATCGGAGTCATTCTTGGTCATCTCAGTCCGGTATTCTTTTTCTCGATGATACGCCTCGTAGCGCCCATTACCCCTTATCCGAAACGCTGAAAGTTTAAAGTACAATTATATAAAATTTTAATACAACGAAGAAAAGCACTGCAGTCTATCGTTTGTTCGGCTTCGCAGTACTTCCTTCTATTACGAAGCAACTGGAAACAGGCTTCACTGAGGACATACTTCATCAATTGTGTATTTCGTTGTCGGTGGAACTGGATCTGTTAAGGTGTGAAGGGTTTTTGCCAGGGGCACTCTGCAGTCCGCCGGGTGGTGTTCTTCGTCATTGACAGATGGTGATAATGGAAAAATCTGTTCATCGTCTTTCCTGCTTCTTTTACAGAATAACTATTATTGCATAGTTCCATTTACTACTGCTGTTTATAAAACGCTGTTGACTATGCTTGATTGAACGGCTATCCAATGTTATGCTTGTTTTGATTCATTAGTTTTTGGATACAGAACAGTGGCAAACCTCAGAAATATCTTTTACTTAAACTGGCAGTACGACCCATGGAGTGATATTGTCTTCAGTAAATAATTAAAGGACTTATGAATTTGCGTAGCAACTTGTTAAACTTGTAATTTTAGTTAATTTTGCGGTTAATTAAAAACTTAAAATTCATAAAATTAGATCATTTTCTCGTTTCTCTATGCAGTTCGTTTTAGAGGAACGAGTTATCCGTTGTTGACTATCTCATGGTTAGCCGAGGTTGTTCAGTCAGTAGAACGTCTGACTCGCAATTAAGATATCCTATATTCGAGGCCCCGTCCGGTCACTCATCTTCCTTCTTTCAGCGGTTCATTAATAGTGCCATTCTGTGGGAAGGAAATAACCCCAGTTGCTGACCATATGGCTTCTTTCTACTGCTTTTCAAAAAAAAATAAGGCACTGAAATGTCAGATCAACGTCCATCATTAACCTAATGAGAAGCAAGGCACCAGAAAGCGCACGATCACAAGCGTGTAAAAATGAGCTCAGACACTGTAATAAATTTTCTCTCCTTTCTTTACTTTTCACGGTTGTATGCTATTTCTTTCAGTGTCGTGTGATCTTCATGGCACAAACCATGTTCATTTTTGTCCATCTTTGGCATCGTCTTGGCTTTCTTTCGGTTCAGATCCTGGACTCGTTTCCATGATGGCCAAAATATCATAATTTTCCTCTGACCTAATTTTGAACAGGTAAACTTGTTTTTAGACCTTCCTGTTGAATGCCAGTTCATTCTCTTAAACTCGTAGCTGTCGTCATTGCTGTTTTGTTGAAACACGTTGGTCGGCTTTTTTCCTACCTCTGTGCTGATCATCTTCAGTATTCATAGCTGGTTAACTGCCTCGTTAGAACAGAAATTCGATGTCTTAGCTTCATGCGGATTTGATGTTTTATTTACGTCATATTCTGTTGGTTTATGTCTTGCGAATTTTTATGTTTGTGGACGTTGACTGAGCTGAGTTTTGCAACCGCTATTTTCTTGTTCAGGATATAACATTGCCTGTAGGTGATAATGAAATCGGTATTCTTGTCCCTTTTACCCATTTTTCTTCGGAGTAAATTTGAGATTAGAGCTTTTGTTCAGACGATTAAAAATTGATTACAGTTATTTGTTACTGTTTTATTCGATATATCAGAATTAGTTTTACGTTGTCGGTGTATAACTGGTTTGTCATTCTGCCCCTGTCGAAATAGTCAAATTGTGGGAAACCACAAGCGATTCGTGACCGCGACATGCGAATTCCTCCAAGATTCTGTCAGTGAGCATAACTGTGTGATGGTGATAATGCGTATTCATACACAGTTATTGCAGTAATGTATAGCAGCCTAGATCATTGTCAAAAAAATTAAGTTCAGATCACCTTGCCTATCGAGACATCGAAATTGAGCATATGAATAGTCTTTTCAGACCAAAATCTTATCTCGCTCAGAAATTAATTGTAAGCGTAATGATAAATCTGACAAATCCTCTGTTCTCCGCAATGTTCCTTATCTTGTACATATCTTCTATCCCTCGCTATTTTTCTCTTTTTTTTGATTCGTATGAAAGATGTCAACTATCTGCTGTGATCTATAATTTTATAAAATTTATTCAGTGGTTATATGCTTAAGTTTGGAAGTATGTTTGTTGTTTTTCATTTCAGGCAATTTATCATAAGCATGATGTTTATGAGTATGATGGGTATACAAATAATTTTGAATATCTGCAGGGCAAGATTTACATCTTCGATAAAGTATTCAAGCCAAATGTTTCCCAGGAAGATATTTATATGGCGTCAGCGTATCCGATCGTGAAGGATGTCTTAAGCGGCTACAACGGGACAATTTTTGCCTATGGACAAACGTCAAGCGGTAAAACGTTTACGATGGAGGTAAAGTTCCGTTTCATTAGTCCTTTATTTGATACTTCGTGGTGATTATAGACAGCACCAATAATTCTTGTTCGTTGTAGGGCGTCTTCGGTGATCCGGCTTTTCAAGGCATCATTCCACGTATCGTGTCCGATATCTTCAACCACATTTATTCGATGGAGGAGCACCTTGAATTCCATATCAAGATTTCCTACTTTGAAATATACATGGATCACATTCGAGACCTACTTGACGGTACGTTTAGGCAAGTGGCGTAGTGGTAAAGTATCTAAGAGGTCTGATTCGAAATGCGGAATTTTCCGTTTCGATTCCGCTCGAGGGCAATCTTTGTCTTATTCTTGAATATCCTTGAGTTAGGAATTTACTGCGCATTGCTTTTGACCATTATTGATTGTTCATTCAGTAGGGTATCGAACACAGAACCGATAGGTCCTTGAGTTCAAGCCGCGGTGAGAGTCACTGGTCCTTCTTCCTTCCGAAATTGATACATGAGTATCACTCTGTGGAAAAGCAACAGTAGACTACACGTCGCACTTGTCGCAGAGCTGTAGACTCTGGTTTAAATTATGGCACTTTTGGCTGATGGCATTGAAACGGAGATCTAGAACGCACCGTACACTTCATGGAAAGACAACCACAATAATGGCCCAATAATTAATGAAAAGGAAGGTCGATTTTTTAGGCAAATACTTGTCTCGCGTTATAATCAGTTAATTGTTTTGTTACTTTATACTTTACTCTGTGCACTTTGCAACCTAATTCAAACATGATCTTCTGTTTAAACCGTGTACTGATAAACAGTACCAATGACTCCTCCCTGCACAAGGTGCAGGTCAGGAGGTGTGGTTAATCGATATACTGAAACGTTCATTGTTTTTTTTGGAGATTAACGTGCGCCATTCCTGTAAAACTAATGGCCACAGGAAGGTATATTTTGTGACAGTGGAAAACTTTACCTAAAGGAAGTTTTCAAGAGAAGGAAGCACGAAGTTTATTCCGAACTTCATAAATATATATTTTATTACAACAGATATGCAGTTTCCGTCAATTGTTTAACTCATCTAAGATAATTTGCGAGATTTCGCAGTCACTGCTGAATCTTGGATATGATTCACAATCATTCTGTCAAATAATCGTAAATTCATGTAGGATTGGTCCAGTTTATGCAATTTTCCCTCGTTTGAATGAATGAGCTTTCATTGGTACCACATACTTGGCTTGGATTGGAGGAGAATCAAAAGTGTTGTAAGATTACTACATATGAACCAACTTTATTAGAGGTAGAAAAATTCATATGAAATGGTCATCGAAATATTAATCTATCAAGGGGAGAGATAAGAGTTATAGCTACATTGCATGATGAACACATAGTGCATGTCTGTTTAAGTGCTTACTTTCTTCCGTTCTTCTAGAATTTTTTTCTTCCTCATTTCGCTTTTCTGTGAACCATTTCTTTTGTTTTACTTAATTACGTGGTTCTTTACGCGTCTATGCTGCGCTAGGACTAAAGCAGTTTCATCTCGGATGCGATGGCACAGCTGTAAGAGGACGGTTTTTGAATCTTGGAAACGGATAAAAATTATTTTAGCCGCTACTTCTCTAAAGCAAGAAACACACCCCGAGTTGCTTTGCTGCAACCAGCAGATAAATCGGTAGCAGCAAGTCGTTGACTGAGGCAGCTGGATCTCTAGTGTGTAAAGCTCAGAATGCGCGAGATGGAAGGCATTGATGCGAACACCCCAGATGGTTGTAATTTCTCTCCCCCATCTAATACCTGACAATTCTGGTGGAAGTCAATACAAGGCTTAACCTTTGGTGTTGTTGCTTGGACAAGCTATTCTTATTCATATTCTCTTCTTAGGCTCAATTGTTGTTGTTGTCATCGTCATCTGATGTATCAGAGTCAAAGACAGAGTACCCACATTAATGGCCCTTTGACTTCTCAGAATATTTCAGGCGATGTTAGTTGCTGCGGCAAAAGTCATGTTCTTCGTCACAAGCAGGTCCGCTCCTTACAGCTGTTTTAGGATGCATGTTAGCATCCGACGTGCCTGCGACCGTTTCTTGCTTCCCAGAGGAGAACGGTTTTGAATATGTTTCTATTCTCTTTTCGGATTATTTTATAAAACCGCGACAGATTCCGATACCTAATTTTGTCAGACA